AGCGTTGGCTGGCGCAGGCCAACCAGGTCGAATCCCGGCAGGGGCTCAGAGGCGACTTGGCAGTAAGCAAGCGCAAACGGTGTTGGATTTCTCCTGGAAGCAGGACGAAATGATGGTGTTGCATGGGAGTGAAGGGGCGACCCTTGGAGGAGGAGCGAGGGTGTGAAAACGGTAGCTGGCGCACCCAAACCAGTTTGAGTCCTGGCAGTGGCTCAGAGGCGACTTGGCGGTAACTGTGCATGATTTGCCGTGTCAAATCTTTACAATTCCCTAAGGTGTGGCATATGGGAAAGGAGAGGTATATTGCTGTAGTGTCTACAGCTATGTATGCGAGTCACCCAATTGATGGGTAGGCGCAATGGCATTACACGCCAGACGGACATTGACGTTTTCTGACGTTTGTTATGCATGTTGATGTAAATTGTAGTATGTATTGTTCATCACGTGTAGCAGCTCCACTGCCATTGTCAACAGTACCTGAAGAATTCACAGAGATCTGATCTACCACGACGACCTTCCTGCGTAGACTCAACTGCGCCATCACAGCAATCGGATTTTGAAATCAAAGTTGTATCCTTCCAGGTTTAATGTTTCGTATTATATATTTGTGCTGGCATGTTTGAATCATCTGTCCATTATGCAATTGTTAGAGTATTGAATGCGTGAGCTATGGTTATCCATCTGGGTATATGACTGTGATGCACAAATGCTTCGTCATGATCATGTTCGTCTTACAAATGGGGAATGCAAAAATAAAAGTACAAGTTAACACTGTCTCGCTCTAAACTAACACTAACCACAAACCGATGTAACATAAAACTAGCGTGAAAAGGCAATAAGTCCTTCTCTCTCTAATCTAAAACGCTAACCTAAAAACCGAAAAAAACATAAATTAAAACTAAAAGCCTACGGCCTTCTCTTTAAGCTGAATCCCTAACCCAAACCGCAATGACATAAACTTAAAACAAAGAAGGTTAAAACGTAAACCAAAACCGAAAAAAAAAAAACATAAATTAAAACTAAAAGCCTACGGCCTTCTCTTTAAGCTGAATCCCTAACCCAAACCGCAATGACATAAACTTAAAACAATAACAACAAAGAACTAACAATACCAGTAAATTAAACGGGGAAAAAACATCGAGGTAAAGTCGGGCCTTGGCTCAAGTGATTTTCTACACTTGGCTCAAGTTCTATGAATTGAGTCGGTAGGCCGGCCGAGGCATTGATAGTATTGTTTCCAGGTGAGGGGAACATGCTTTCAATGTCTACGAACTAGCCCGGATATTTGTCTTCAATTCCACCTGGTGTGATGGCGAAGTGAATTTTTGCTATGTTTGCACTTGGTTTGATGTTGTCTGGAAGGATGAATAAAACGTTTTTCATTGCTGCGCTTAGCCGTGGTTTTGTCTTTAATTCCACCTGGTGTGATGGCGAAGTGAATTTTTGCTGTGTTTGCACTTGGTTTGATGTTGTCTGGTTTTTCATTGCTGTGCTTAGCCGTGGTATTGTCTTTAATTCCACCTGGTGTGATGGCGAACTGAATTTTTGCTGTGTTTGCACTTGGTTTGATGTTGTCTGGTTTTTCATTGCTGCGCTTAGCCGTGGTATTGTCTTTAATTCCACCTGGTGTGATGGCGAAGTGAATTTTTGCTATGTTTGCACTTGGTTTGATGTTGTCTGGAAGGATGAATAAAACGATTTCTTTGCTGCGTTTAGCCTTGGTATTGTCTTTATTTCCATGTGAAGAGAAAACGGAGACACGTTTTTTGTGATATTTAATTCTTATTGTTGGTTACTAAAGGTCACCTTCACACAATTACATTCCTAAAGTAGCTTCATAGTGAGTTCTTACTCACCTCATTGTCTTCAAATGAGCCTTGATTGGCGTCACGTTTGCAGAGGCACTTGTTGTGGTGGGGCACACAGGCTCTGCTCTGATGTTTTGATTGTAATGCCAAATCCGAGAGTTTCTGAGTGAGACATGGAAGCCAACCAAGTGGCGGGAATTACGACTGAAAGCGCCAATCGTTGATCGGTTGTTTAATCGCATATGTGAATGGGATGAGTGAGTCGTGTCAGGTTTAAGCTACCAACCGGCCTTAATCCATGAATGATTGATTGACTCTGTGACCTCAATGCAGAGCTTAATACAAACACTTTTCAATCGCTCGGGCTATATATACCTAGCAGTCAGATACAAGCATCACGGCACTTGTGCTAACATTGTTTGACACAACACATTGTTGAAGACTTCATTCAAGCTATGGCCTACACACTTTTTAAAGGTCCTGTTTCAAAGCCCGTCCACTTTGCCATCCTGGGACATAGCTTCGTGCGGCGACTTGATCAAGTCTGTCCCCCCTCCACGTGGCATCATCACTTCCGTGCGTGGGATAGGAGGGGTGACTGTCGCTCGGATGAAAGCAGTGGTGGATGCCCTTGATGCAGGTTTCCAGGGCATTGTTTTCTTTCAAGTGGGAGAGAACGACGTGTCGGCGTCAACTGATCCTCAGAACCTGGTTGAGGACTTGCTGGATCTTCTGGACTACCTTCGGTGGAAACGGCCGGGCTCCAGAGCAGTGATAGGAAGTCTGTTCCCGAGGGTAAAACCAAGGAACATGACGGTCTCTGCCTACAAGCGGAAGGCGGAGGAGACGAATCGGCGCTTGAAGAGGATGTTGCGACGCCGTCTGGATGCCACCTTTTGGGACCACAGCCAGCACATGAGGATGGGACCTGCACTGTTAGGCAAGGATGGCGTCCACTTGACGTCAAAAGCCAATGCCCAGTTCTGGCTTTCCATTCGTAAGTGTATGTGTAGGTACGTTTAAACGCACATGCCCTGTCCGGTAGATCATCATTTTATCGTAATTCCCAAACTCTATAATTGTCGTTTCGGCCCATTGTGTTGATATACAGCAGTGGCAAAAGGGTTCCGCGTGTGAGACGATCAGTGCAAACGGGACGCACAGATCAGTCAAATCTGAGCGCACGGGGCTTAGCTTGGGATGGCTTTAAGGGTGGGAAAACGTGACGACATCCGCACGTGTCGCACATGACGTGAAAGCTAAGACACGGGGCTTTCGATCCATAGTAACGACAAAACCCTGTGGTCGATGTACGAAACATAACAAGCATCTGCAGCGTGAAATACGGCCGTAAATCGGGTCAAATCGGGCTTAAAAGCGCCTCGGCTTCGAACCCGTTAAAGACAGGTCACTTCTGATGATACCACCAGTTGGCCCTGGGAACCAGCTTCACGTCGATGTGCAACATGTCAATGGGTTGCGTATATTTGTCGTCCACGCGACGTATAAAAGATGATCGCAGAGCAAGGCTCTTTTCTTGGTAAAAAGACATGTCTATATCAGATGGCCAAATGGACGTGGACGTCCAACCAGGTGCCCCACGTCGACCCCGTGACGATCCCAGGTGCCTTGTGCACGTGGCAACATTTTCATATATGATATGCGTGCATATGTTTCTTTCTCCGGGTGCGAGACGATTAGTGCAAGCGGGATGCAGAGATCAAACCCCTTTTGATATGAAATCTGAGCTGTTTTGGCTCCCGTCACACGCACGGGGCTTAGCTTCGGGGGGCTTTAAGGGTGGGAAAACGTGACGACACCCGCACGTGTCGCACATGACGTGAAAGCTAAGACACGGGTCTTTCGATCCATAGTAACGACAAAACCCTGTGGTCGATGTACGAAACATAACAAGCATCTGCAGCGTGAAATACGGCCGTAAATCGGGTCAAATCGGGCTTAAAAGCGCCCTGTCTTCGAACCCGTTAAAGACAGGTCACTTCTGATGATACCACCAGTTGGCCCTGGGAACCAGCTTCACGTCGATGTGCAACATGTCAATGGGCTGCGTATATTTGTCGTCCACGCGACGTATAAAAGATGATCGCAGAGCGAGGCTCTTTTCTTGGTAAAAAGACATGTCTATATCAGATGGCCAAATGGACGTGGACGTCCAACCAGGTGCCCCACGTCGACCCCGTGACGATCCCAGGTGCCTTGTGCACGTGGCAACATTTTCATATATGATATGCGTGCATATGTTTCTTTCTCCGGGTGCGAGACGATTAGTGCAAGCGGGATGCAGAGATCAAACCCCTTTTGATATGAAATCTGAGCTGTTTTGGCTCCCGTCACACGCACGTGGCTTAGCTTCGGGGGGCTTTAAGGGTGGGAAAACGTGACGACACCCGCACGTGTTGCACATGACGTGAAAGCTAAGACACGGGTCTTTCGATCCATAGTAACGACAAAACCCTGTGGTCGATGTACGAAACATAACAAGCATCTGCAGCGTGAAATACGGCCGTAAATCGGGTCAAATCGGGCTTAAAAGCGCCCCGTCTTCGAACCCGTTAAAGACAGGTCACTTCTGATGATACCACCAGTTGGCCCTGGGAACCAGCTTCACGTCGGTGTGCAACATGTCAATGGATTGTGTATAGTCGTCGTCCACGCGACGTTTAAACAACAACACCCACCGTTTCTGGCCCGTGATATAGGGCACTCAGACACATTATACTGACTCCCGAGCCAACCAGTCCTTGTTGTACCCATTAATGCCGAACGCCAGGCAGGGACCAACAAGTACCAAATTTTAACGTCTTTTGGTATGACGCGGTCGGGGATCGAACCCGCGACCTTCCGCTCTCCGGGCGGACGCTCTAACCACTACACCACGGAGGATGAAGCAGCTGAAGCGAACATTCCTGTATGAATTCACTGGATATCATGTTTCATGCATCAGACTTAATGATCAAAATTACACATTTTGTGTTTGTAAAATAGTAGGTTCAAAGGTAATTGGTAAAAGGTAAAACTGCAACATATACGCATACCTAGATTTTTACAAATACATTAATTAAAAGCCTTGGTGTTTCAGGTCACCTTATGGCATAGAGCCGCGATAATCAATGCTATCATTCCAAGCTGTTCTAGTTTTTGACATTTATCTTATCAGTGGAAAGCTGTCGTTAGTTTTATTCCAGGACAACCATTTAATCGGCCACCAATTCGGGATCGCTGTGGTCTAGACATGTGGACGTCGTACCGGCTGCTGGCGTGGATACTCGCCCCGACCCTGCTTATTGGGGTAGGAAGGACAGAGATGTTCAAGGACCCTGGTTTTGAGGGTTCCAACCCGTCCTCGAACTGGATCTGTGCCGGGTGTAAAATGGACATCAGCAGTGATCACAGTCAAGGTCATCAGTCAGTCAGAATCACCGGAAGGTAAGTGGAATTTGTCATCAGTTTCAGCAAGGTGTGAACATGAAAGCGACAAAACGTTTGCCATAATCTTTACATATGAACCATTAAAGTAAATGATTTAGGTTTATTTATGTAAAAAAATATGCAAACACACAGGTTCACATATCGTAATAATACACTCGCATTGTTACTATCCGGATTAGAATTGATCTTCAGCAACTCATGCTCGTCGTAAGAGGCAACTAACGGGAACGGGTGGTCAGGCTCGCTGACACCAAGTGATATGTTATCGTATCTAAATTGCGCAGATCGAAGCTCATGATGCTGAATACTGGATTGTCTGGACCACCTCCATATATATACTAGCCACATACAGAAACTGTGCATTGTCAAAATATTATCCCAGTTGATAAGTACGATAACAATGTCAAAGGTACATATAAACTTTAACGGAGGGATCATGAGACCATAACAAGTCGGGAGAATTTCAATTGAAAAGTCAATCACAATGACGTCACGAGTCCACAAGCGGGACAGGGGTCAAACGACCATGTCACAAGCTCAATAACGGGTATGTCCACCATCGGCATTGAGAACAGCAGTGCATCGACGAGACATAGAGCCTATCAAACGTGCAAGGAATGTGCCAGGAGTGCTTGTGGGATGTCACGCCAGATTCTCTCAAGTTCTGTTGCAAGGTCAAGGACGTTATCTGGCGGATGAAGAAGACGGCGTAGACGTCGATCCATCTCGTCCCAAACATGCTCTATCGGGGAGAGATCCGGTGAATTTGCAGGCCAAGGCAGTAAGTCAACGTTGTGGTGTTGCAAGAAATCCATGGCAACCCTTGCCGTATGAGGGCGGGCATTGTCCTGTTGGAATGTTAACCCAGGGCGTTGCAGAAAAGGAATTGCCACAGGTCGAAGAATCTGATCCCTGTAGCCCACACCAGTTGAGTTGCCCTGAACAATCACCAAAGGAGTTCTCTGGCGTGCTGTTATTCCACCCCAAATCATCACGGAACCACCACCAAAGCGAGTCTTCTCCAAGACACAGGCCTGTGCATAACGTTCTCCCACGCGTCTATAGGCACGTTGACGTCCATCACTATGGGAAATGTGAAACCTGGACTCATCTGTAAAAACAACATTTCTCCACCAAAACAAGGGTCTGCGGACATGATTTCGGCACCACATTCGGCGAGCTTGTCGATGACGTTGTGTCAGGATAGGCCGTATGGCGGGACGTCGTGGTCTGATCCCGTGATGACGTAAACGTTGTCGAACTGTGTTGGGGTGGATACGGCGAAGTCCTGTGATGGTTCGGGCAGTCATCACTGCAGTCTGAAACCTGTGGCGATGATGGGTCACCCTTATCCATATGTCCTGTCTTGGCGTTGTTACACGTGGACGTCCATAACGTGGCCGATCGATGACGTCATTTGTGTTCTGGTAGCGTCTCACCAGTGCAGAAATGGTGTTCCGGTGGCAGTGGAAATGTGCAGCCACTTGTGGTTGAGACATTCCCCCACGGACCATCCCAATGGCCTCATGACGTTGTGCAGACGTGAGCCTTGGCATGCTATGCGTTTCAATAGCCGTTTACAACGATCGCAAGGGCAGGGGTTGAGCTTTCCAAAGTGACAGTATTGTGTGGCATTCATTTGCTCTGTTTCTAGTTCCCGGAATGCACGTGCAACAACGTATTGCACTCTGAAGGTCGAACCCACTGACGTCACGGAACGTGGCACGTGCATACATGTCACTAATCTCTGAGTTTGAATCCTTATGTGTCTACACAGGTTTGATAAATTTAGATTTTAAATTTTTGTATGCACAGTTTCTTTATGTGCCTAGTATAGTTAGGATATTGCTGAGTGCGGCGATAGAAGCAACAAACAAACAAACAAACTACTGGCCATACTATTGGCGATGGGTCATACAATCAAATATTATATGATACTTGAATCATATCATGAGTTGATGGTAATTGTCGTCCTTGCAGACAGGCCGACTGGGCGGGTCCTCAACAGACAGTTTACCTCAAGAGTGGCACACGCTATTTCATCCAGGCCCACATCAAACAACTCAATGATATTCACGGACACTTTTCCAGAAGTACACAGTTCTTGCAGACATTGAGAAAAATAGCGGTGAATATCAGAACAGTGACATTGAATCTGGCACTTGATGAAGTTGTTTTCTTTACTTGAAATAATATTCCGTCAATAACAAGGCAGATTCGATCGAAATGTTGCCTGAAAATGAGACCGATTACAACTGACAAAACGTTTTCAGTCTCTTTGAGAATTGTATCGAATGGTATTGACTTGCTCATTAATACTTTGTTTTGTCCTTCTTGACAGTAATGTCATTGACAAGGTTTAGGAAGGATATTACAAATATTCGAATCGCGCCTTTGTCTCCATTGTCGTCAGGCTACCCATTGTTGATGGGGCCCTTGGTTTGGTACCTCTTGGCGCAGATCAGGCGAGTGCCCGCGGCCTCCGCCGGGAGCACAGGCCTTCTGATATTCTGTGTAATGCAGAAGGCTGCAGTTTTAGGGAGTTCAAATATTTCCCAAAAGGTTCCTCGTAGGTCAGACGAGGCAGCGCTTCGTGGGAGAAGTCCCAAGCACAGTCTGGACTGCGTATGAAGAGTCAACGCCCTTAGTGCCAGGATCACTCGAACCCCCTTTGCTGCATTCAGTTATTTAGATCTGTAGATAATAATGATATATCTTACAACATGCAACTGTGGTGATTATACAAATTTTAAAAAGTAAAGATCACATAGTAATGCCATGTCCATATTGCATTGTGATACAGTAAGTACGGATCATACATACTGCATTATTTTTTATATTATTACCACAATGGTCGATAGGCCTTTTATGTTATTTCTCTTAATTATGTTTCTAGGTTCCCACGATTATTCTACTATCCTGGAAAACAAATCTGTGTACACCAAATCAGGATGGATTGAATTGTCTTCGTATTTCCAGTTTTTCAATTCCGGTAAGTAAGTTTCAAATGGTGCGTTCTGAATGTCCCTTCGAATGGTAGCAATGTTTGCCAATGCTTAGTGACAAACGTAATGTAACGATTGATTGATGCTAAAGGCCACGTAAAACTAAACCCACTCACACCTTCCACTGGTCCATGTTCAGATTACAAGAGTGTGTCTCTGAGGGTAAATGGACCATCCCCAGCCATCAACTTCAATATTGATTACATGTCGCTCTCGGAAATACCCGAGGACAAGAACTGGAAGTCCGAGGCAGACAAGAGAATCGACCAGCTCAGGAAGAACAACATACACTTTAAGTACGTTGTTTACATCATACAAACAATGTATCTGAAATAGATTAAGATTTATCAGAAATTAGAAATGTTACTCTGCTAATATCTATCTCGAAAAACAGTCGTATTCTAAACTGTACTGTTAGCACATATCTCTTTTAGTGTCTACTCTATCTGTCGGCAACCCCCTTAGGCCATTGCTTTGACTGACTGACTGACTGACTGAGTTTTGATTTACGCCGCTTTTAGGAATATTCCAGCAACATCACGGCGGGGGACACCAGAAATGGGCTTCACACATTGTACCCATGTGGGGATTCAAACCCGGGTCTTCGGCGTGACGAGCCAACGCTTTAACCACTAGGCTACCCCACCGCCCCCCATTGCTTTGAATCCTGGCGCTGTGGTCTCTTCCGTTGTGTAGAGCGGACGGTCGGTGGTTCGATCCCCTTACCCATCCTCGATAATCTCCAGGGTATACGTTACGATCACTCTCCACTATACCCTGGATGCATCCACGGCTTGACCCAATAATTATATTGCCTGCCTTTCCCGACTTTTTATCCAATCAGGTGTTTTCGCTGGGAAGTTGAGCGAACCAATCACAACTCACTTTCGCTTCTTAAATTATCTAACCGTTAAACTTGGCAACACAATTGATGCAGAGGTACTCTGGAAGAGGTAGAAGGAGTTCTCTCTTTCATATATTTTTTTAAAGTTTCAGATCTGTGAATTTGTCTTTATGATTTCCCCAAAAATCTCAGTGGCGCTGCGAACAAACCTTCGCTACTGCGATCGCTATCTTTGTTGACACTGGCAAGCTCGGATGTAACGGCGGCTTATCTGATTGGCTACTGTTAGAATGCGGAGCCAGCAAAGGGAGGTAATATAATTATCGGGCCAAGCCGTGGATGCATCCAGGGTATAGTGGAGAGTGATCGTTACGTATACCCTGGAGATTATCGAGGGTGTCCCCTTACCATGTAATTACGAAATCCGTTAATAGATGGTACTTATTGTTACCCTGCCTGGTGCTAGTCATAGATGGAATAAAACGAGGACTGGTCGGCCTGTAGTGTAGTGTGGTGTGGTGTGGTGTGGTGTGGCGGTGTGGTGTGGTGTGGTGTGGTGTGGTGTGGTGTGGTGTGGTGTGGTGTGGTGTGGTGTGGTGTGGTGTGGTGTGGTGTGGTGTGGTGTGGTGTGGTGTGGTGTGGTGTGTAGTGGTGTGGTGTAGTGGAGCGGAGGGGAGCGGAGTGGAGTGGAGGGAGGGGGAGGGGAGTTGAGAGGGGTATTAATCATCCGCGTTTCACTACGGCAGTTGATGTGCGTTATAAAACCGAAGAAACAGGCCCACGCACCTTAATGTGAGTGAGTGAGGGATTGTGCGCGTGTCATCTTGATGTTGGAGGAATGGCAAAGGTGACACAGGTCGCTGAATGGTGCCGACATACCAGCTTATGGTACATAATCAGACAAACCTTGATTCGAACCCATGATCTTCGGATCCTGGTTGGACTAGAGGACGAAGAGAAATGTAGAGCCTTAGAGCACGGGGTAACCCGAGACCCTTAATCCTAAACAATCTATACAAAATGGTAAGATGTTAACTGTCATCACGCCATATTAGTACTCTGCATTGAAATCGGATTGTATTTCTTTTGTTTTCAGTGTCCACGTGCCAAGTCATGTGTCAACGGCCGACCTAGAAATAGACGTACGTATCGGTGATATTTACATATGAGATGAACACAGCTAATGTCTGACTGACAGCCACAATTAGGCCTCCAACTTACATATGTTACACCATCTGTCAAACCATTCATTTGACCAAATGACTGATGAACATATTGTATTGTCCACCAGATTCATTCTAAGAAGTTCTTTTTTGGTATAAACAATTCCGTGCAGAAATTTATATTGAAAATCTAACAGTTTCACATCTCTTAAATTCTTTCTACAAGTATGGAAAATCAAATGCCAATCAAAATCAATACAGTCAAATAATGTTTCCCATTTTTGGCACATGTGAGGTTTAACATTTTCAGATAACAATTTATCATAGAATAATCTTGAACCTTTTCTTGGGGATATGAAATCCTTTTGGAGTGAATTTATTGTGAGGTCATTAATGTTTATATATCTATATTCCTTTAAAGTATTTTTCCAAGGTCCAGGTAAAATATATATAACATATCCAAGATCTAAGTAAGTACCTTTCATATCAAATATAAGCTTCAACTGATCAAAGGTTATAAGCCCATGTTCATCACAAAGATCTTTGATCGTCAAGATTCCACTTTTAGCCCAGTGACTAATGATGTGATTTGAGTTTTTGAAATTGTTATTCCACCATAAAGGTTGGGATAAGATTTCATTAATGTTCTCTGCATCTATGGTATTTTTGCTACAATATAATTTCCATGCCTTTAAAACATCTTTCCAAAAAGGATAATCAACTACAACTATATTCTGAAAATTTGCTCCATATGTTAGCATATCCTTAAAAGGAAAATTGCATGAGTTACCAGGATTTGGTTTTTTAAGTATAGTTTGAGTGTAGATAATTTCATGGCGTAAAAAAAGGTTTTAATATCAATCATCCGTAGCCCCCCCCCCCCCCCCCCCCCTCCTTGTTTTGTAATCTTTTTTTAAAGTGCTCCATTTGATTTTGTCATTTTTGTCATTACAGATGAATTTAAAAAGTACTCTCTCAAGCGGTGAGAAAATCATCTGGAGGGTTAGGTGAAGTGTTAAAAATAGGAACTAATTTTGAAAGAGCCAATGTCTTAATAACAGTAATTTTCCCTATCAGCGTCAAATGTCTTTTTCTCCAAGTTGCCAGTAATCTATTAATTTCTTCTAGTCTTTTCTTTGTGTTAATAACCCATAAATCATTCAAATCCGGAGTAAATTTAATTCCTAATACTTCAAATTGTTTTCTTTGCCATTGTATATTCAAATCTTGACATAGTATATCCCTGCTACCAGCTTTTGAGCCAATCCAGATTGCTTTAGTCTTATCTATGTTTATCTTTAGTCTTGACATGTTGTAAAATGTTGGAGCTGAGTCTTTATCAGGAGGCCAGGGTTTCATAAGGTGTAATTGTGCTGGTAGCAAGAGATGTGGAACCAAGAAATGCAAATGCTTTAAGAACAAACTTCTGTGCAAAAGCCGGTGTCATTCAAGTCTCACTTGTCAAAACAAGTAATGCAAAGCTCTATGTTGAAACTGGATAAATAAAGTGTTCACTTAATTTGTTTTGTGTGCGTTTCATTTTTTAACTTAAACGATTTGGTCACTTGGTCAAATGACTGAGAATTTTTAGTCTTTTGACCAAATGACTGATCGTTCTAGTAATTTGACCAAATGACTGAAATTATCAGTCATTTGGTCAAATGAATGGTTTGACAGATTGACTGTAACATATACATTGTTTAAGATATCTGTCACAAGTCACAAGTCGGAATAAACGAAGGGGACATACTAAACACCAATAATTACGAATATACCGTTAAATTGCTTACCATAAGTACTAATAAAATATATTTTGATGTCAATATGGATGAGCATTTTTATAGTGAACAATAATGCTGAATATAATTCCCGATTTATTTATATGGGAGACGTTATTTCTTGGGAGACGTTGGGGTAGCCTAGTGGTTAAACCGTTCATTCGTCACGACGAAGACCCGGGTTCGATTCACCACATAGGTACAATGTGTGAAGCCCATTTCTGGTGTCCCCTACCATGATATTGCTGGAATATTGCCAAAAACGGCGTAAAACTAAACTTACTCACTTAGTTCTTGTAGAGTGCCCTATATCAGTCCGTTATGCGCGTCACGTGACCTCTCTATTGGTAGCCTTGTGTTCGCAGCGTTCGTGTGTCCTCGTGAAGCCTAGCGTATTGCTGAAAGTTCCATAAATAAACATTCACTCATATGCTGTTATTCAGGTAGACCTAGTGAAGCACGGGTATCCTATCGGCTCGCAGACAACGTGGGAGGTGATGACACAACACCCACAGTATGCCAAACTGTTCTACTACATGTTCAACTGGGCCACCCTCAGCAACTATTATTGGGAGTGGTCGCCCCCACCCAGGGTACGCCCTAATGTATTTAACGCTGTAATGTAGATTGAGTGGCTATTTAGTCCGAGTCATCATTGTCAGCATTCTGGGTCACTACTACAAGTATGTCATTTACACAAATATAACAGGTATTGCATTCAAGAAGAAAACGACGAAAGCAAGTTGCATATTTCGATAGCTTAACGTCTTTTATCGCAGCTCATCCCGAGGTTAGATTCGAGTATTTCCTGCCATGATATGAATTTAATTTTGCCAAAGTAATTGTAAGACCCATCCTCGATAACTCCAGGGTATACGTTCCGATAACCCTCCACTATAGTTATCGAGAATGTTGTAAGACCATACTTCTCCCAAAACGGGCCCCAAGAACGACGATAATCGAAATAACAGTAGTGTTTTCCCTTACAGCATAACCCCGACTACAGCAAGGCCACTGCTGAGCTCAATGTCCTCCACCAACATGGGTAAGGCATTTCTATACATACAGGGGTGGCTGAAAGTGAGGTAAGAATTCGTAGGATTTATTGCACACCCGTAACAGCTGTATGTATTAAGTACAAGGGTTATGCTGGCAGCATATTTGTGCAGGCATCAAGTATATATTCAACTGATGATGAAGTTAGGTATCGTGTTAGAATAACCAAGAGGAAGCCTTCTCCATCAGTAGGGCCATACAAGTTGGGGATTGTGTTGAAAAATATCTAGCAACCGACTCCATGAAGGCAGTAGTACCTTTTAGCCACCAATGAAAGATCCTGATCTGCTTTGACAGACTATTTCTTACTGACACAAGCTGTTGTACGTCGCGTATCTAAAGTCTCAGTCCCGAATTTCCTAGATTCCATATGCGTAAAAGGAGAACTAGCAGTGGAAAAGGTATGAATGAAACACTGTATGCCAATGATAACACCACGATTGGTCAATGAAGTAATGGAATGAGTGAGTGAGTTTAGTTTTAACCACGAGGCTACCCCACCGCCCCAGTAATGGAATGAGCATCGGGTGGTAATGAATGTGTCACCCACTCGACCAGGTTTCGGCTGTTTACATGACATACCCCAGCTACGGAATAGCAGTTGCTTTGACGGTTAAGTGTACAAGGAAGAAGAATATTCTGGACTGTTGGTTTCTTATACAATTTTCCAAAATTGCCCAGGTTCCACCAAAATGATCAATATGTACGACCTATTCTCCCCCTAACGCATTGATTTGGTGTGATTAAGTTGACAATGTACGAACAGACACGTAACCCATTCACACATGCACTCATTAACTCATTGAGTCCAAAATGGACCTATTAATCTTAGCTTTTTCATACTCTTCCCAAATTCCATTGAAGCGTTCCTGTCCGAGCACATAACATATTCTGGGGTGCTGATCCCAAGTACACGCCCGACTGGGTGCAGGCTCTGAGTCCGGACCAGGTGAAGCAGGCCGTGGATGAGCGGATACAGTACATTGTCAAGGACACAAAGGGGAAGTAAGTGGAATGATTGCTACGAATAAGGTGGGAGACCGCCTTAGGCTGTTGACAGGGTCGGACGTGCTTGTCAGCCGCTCCGCTGTAAGGGCTATCGAGGGTCAAATATTGGCTTATTTTGCCATATTTGTGTGTTTTGTTGTCTCGCCTTGACTTACCGCACCACGTGGCCTCGGTTTTCGTGCATTGTGTCTGCGTGAAATTTTTCATTTCGTCTTGGTCACAGGAATATTTGGGTATGGAGAGCGACACTGATGGGGATGGGGATGATAATATTCACTCTACCTCATTTGAGGAAACCTCGACAGATGCTGAATTTGCAGAGAAATACGTGTCAATGATTTCCAAACGTTTGAAACGAAAACATGAGTATGACCGAGTTGTAAGTGATACGACTTCGTCATTACCTATCAAAAATTTGTTGTCATTCTTACTTCTGTTGACCCAAGATTACGTTTGACAAACTTGAGTCCAATTGCTTTGGCTCGGGATATCTATAAAAACATTGGTGATGTGGAGTATATGAAAAAACTGGAAAAGGGAGATTTAGTGATACACTGCAGGTCTGCTGAGCAACTTAACCTTGCACTGAATGTAGCGTGTGTCTGTGACGTTCGTGTCAAGAGTTCTGTCCCAAAGAGTCTTAGTGAATCTAAGGGAGTTATTTACAATGTTGACACAGATGTAAATGAGAATGAGATAGTTGAGCAATTGAAAAGTCAAAAGGTTAAAAGTGCCCAAAGACTTTTGCGTGGAAAAGAAAAGGAACTTACTAATTCCATTCTTCTTACTTTCTCAACCCCACATTTGCCTGAACGTGTTAGGATGTATTATCAGTCCTTTCGAGTGCGTCTGTATATCCCACCAGCTATTGGATGCTACAATTGCCAGAAATTTGGCCATGTTTCAACCCGATGTAAAAGTAAAAAGCCTGTATGTCCCAGGTGCAGTGGTGAGCACAAAGTAGAAAAATTGTTCGAAAAAGTATCGAAGTGTTACAATTGTGGTGGTAGCCACAGTGCTGCCTACAAGGGATGAGAAATACAAGGAGGCAGTATCTGTGCAAAGGGTACGAGTAGAGAGTAAACTGTCTTATGCTGAAGCAACTCGTATAGTCAAGTCCACTCCAACTCCATCTCATGCAGCTACTGTAACCGCCGCTCAGAAATCACGATCTGTGTCTGTACAAGCCTCACAATCAACAGTTGGAACCCGTCCTGTTCCTCTTGCAGCTACATCTGGGTCTAACCCTACCTGTATTTGTAAATGTCAGTCACGAGAGTCAAATTTAAGCCAGTGTGTATCAAATCCACCTGTTACAGCTCAAGTCAGGACAGACTAACCAGCAATCTGAATACTAAAAATCCTCGGAGAGGTTGTTGTGCTATATTTATTAAGACTGATTTGTCGTATCAGGTTCAAGAATTACCAAATACAGTGTATGAGGCTAACGCAGTAAAAATTCATTATGAGGAAGATAAAGCCATTTCTATTGTTAATATTTATAATACAGGCAAGCCAAACGTAGATGAATATCTGAAATTAATTGATCCCAATGGAGGCCCATATTTGGGGACTTTAACAGCCATAATATGTTTGGGGGAAGCAACAAGACGGATTATAATGGTCAGATTGTTGAACAATTTTTAGATGAAGCAGATCTTGTCCTTTTAAACGATGGTAATGGACTTTTTCTCCTTTAGATCTATCAATGATATCATCACACATAGCCATTAAGTGTAACTGGGATGTATTTCAGGAAGATGAGTTAGGTAGTGACCACTTTCCTGTTTTTACTGAAATTCAGGTTCGACCATATCGTGATTCTTGTGATAAAGTCCCTCTGTGGAAACTCAAGAAGGCTAATTGGGCACTTTTTTCTAGTCTGTGTACTGAACATATCACATCTGATCTTATAAATGATGATGTTAATATGTCTAATGAAAATATCACAACACAATTAATAAGAATTGCAGAAGAGTCCATTGGAAAATCGTCTGTTAAGGAAGCGGCATTCCCGCCAAAGTCCTGGTGGAATGACAGCTGTGAAAATGCCAATATCGCAAGGAAAAAAGCATATAATAAGGTTCGCCACTCGTCATTGCCATGTGATTTGGCTGATTTTCGTAAGAAACGAGCTACGTTCCAACGTATTGTACGGAGTACAAAACGATTGAGCTGGAGGGAATATATTTCTAATATTAATAGATTTACATCATTAACTAGAATCTGGTCCAAGGTGAAAACGATCGGTGAAAATAATATTCGTTCACCTATACCGGTAATGGGAGAAGCTGGAGAACACGTATCAAAAAGTCAGAAAGTAAATGCTCTTGTTAAACAATTTAAATCTGTTAGCAGTTCTGAAACTTATTGTCATGAATTCAGAGAATATAAACAAGTCTTTGAAACAAACTTTATGCCTGAAATGTCTTCTGCCATGTTGGAAAGTAGCTTGGAAATCAATACAGCTATCACTCATGATGAACTTAAGGCAGCCATATCAAGAACACATAATTCGGCACCAGGCGCGGATGAGTTGTGCTATGAAATGTTTAAGCATATGCCAGATTCTACTCTGGCAGTTATTCGGGAACTGTTGAACTTAAGTTGGTGTTCTGGATCCTTGCCTAGGACATGGAGACATGCAATAATAGTTCCAGTGCCCAAACCAGGAAAAGATCCATCGCTTCCTGCACCATATAGACCGATTGCTCTCACTTCTAATTTATGTAAAATCATGGAGAGAATAGTTACTAATCGCCTGAACTATTATCTTGAACGAAATGAGCTTCTTACCCACATCCAGTCAGGATTCAGAAAGGGGCGTTCATGTATAGATCAGCATGTTCGTCTGGAAACTGAAGCACAGAAGGCTTTATGCAACCAGGAATACATGTTGTGTGTAGGTTCTGGATCACTTTCAACCAAAGCCTCTGCAAAGCCTTATTTCACAAGTAAGGCTTTGGTCGGATATAGCTCTTGCTACCATTACCCCTACTACAAAAGTTGGGGGATGCGAACGCACCTCCTAGCCGCGCTACCGGGGGCATGGCTGGAGTGTGTTGGTATCCTGGGATTGCACCATCCAATACTGGGCTGCGTCTAACGTGCCGCTATGGCACTAGCGTGCGCTATGGCACTATTGTGCCGCTATACCATGTTTACCTCGATGAAACAGTTTAATGTGAATCGCCTATGATCTCTTTGGTGTTTGTAATAAAGGCTTGCGGGCTTTTTCACCTTGTTCTATGTACTTTTTTTCTCGTCCTCGCTGATAGTAGACTTACGAGACTTGGATCGAATCTCTTGTTTCATTTTGTTATATTTTGTGAGTTCAGAGAGTATTGAACTAAACTCATCCTCTGAGATCTTACTGTCAGTAAGTGCCGTGGAAATACGCTCACTTACTGTGTTCAGTTTTGCTTCGGCCAGAACCCTGATCTCGTCGTGTTTCAATGCCTTACGATGCAGTCTACGTGATGCCAACTTAAGCACCAACCCTAACACCCCTGCCACCCCAGCTGTTATTTCAATGCCTAGCACTATAGGTGCAGCCACGATGGTAGCTAACAACCCAACACCTGCCGCTCCCAGCCCCATGCTGGTTGCCATAAGGGCAGCGTCAGCTCCGTCCACGATATTGAAAGCTCTATGGTACTTTTTACATAGTGCTTTACGTGTGTCGCGGTCTTGTTCTAGTTGACGTTTCACATCACATAACTGCCTCAAAGCGGAACCGTCTCACGGTTTCCAGGGTCTTCGCTACTTCCTCTATGACTGGGTAGCCCCATTCTGCGTGCCTATAATATATCTGGGGAAATATTTTTTAATTGGGTATCAGTTAATAACCGATCAACGTACTTGAAGTTTATAAGGCCTACATCCTCAGATAGGTGAATAGTGGAAAGGTCAATAGGTAATCCTTGGCTACCTACCCTAAATATCTTGGAGCTTATTAAGGGGGGCAGCAACCCCCCACTCGAGTCCCGTCGTATAATGATATTACAATGGTAGTCAGGGTTAAAGCCAACATGACCAAGTTGTATGCTCACCCCAGATAAAAGGCCCAATGAGTACTTCATACGGACGTTTTTTAAAAAGAGTATTATGATTAATGTGGAGCCTGGGGGCATAAACTTAGGAAATGGTAGGTCAGAGTATATCTTAAGCGATAACTGTGCCGTGCCCTGGGTAGATCTAACATGTAACCAGGGTGATTTGGGATTTGGGAAATTCTAATTTGTTTATAGCCGTCGGGTTGAAACCCCGAGCAAGATACGCTGTTCTTAATTTCAGCGATATACCTACCATCATGAAAAGACACGTAAGGTGTGGTGAGGGTTATGTTGAGCAACCATTCGGACTCCATAAAGTGGTTGTGTAGATTTCTCATAAAGTCGTCTGGCAGGCTCATCAGCATGTACACACCACCTATTAATTGTAGGACGTACAAGGCGTCTTCGAACCAGGCTGATCGAATCCCTCTAGGTCCCTGAGTGTGAGTTTGGGCAGATGATCGGCCATTGCTGCCCGCCTATACACGTTGTCTTTCAAGTGTAGGATGTATGAGCCACCTTCATCACCAGGCTGATCGAATCCCTCCATGTCCCCTAGGTCGTTAAGCGTAGTGTTGGGACGATGACTGGTCATTGCTATAATACTATTACGATATAATTTCCAACTGGTTTTCTGATAATAGTTCAGGGGTTAACTTCACCCCATGAAGTGTATGTTGTCAGGTAGGAAGATCTTGGTTAGTGATATAGTGTTTTCCACGATCACGGTGACACCCTGCAGACTGGTGTTGGAGCCGACACCCACCCCATGCGTAAACTGTGCAAAGCGTGATACTGGTGTCGTTTCACCCACCCAAGTTTGATCCCCTTCACGATCTCGACATCATTCCCGATGGTTCCCCTAGGTAGACTTTGATGATCAGTGTTGAGTTCGCCGGTAGACTCTCTAGTATCCTGACCACGCCTTCAAATTCAGACACC